TCCCGGCTAGGGGCCCCCGGACAGGTACGTACACATTCCTCCCTCCCACGCCGCTCTCCCCTCCTTCCTCCCTCTCCACGCGCTCCAGCCTCACCATCTGAGAGCCCACAAACTCCTCCCCCATCTCCATCGCCACCGACACCGCAAGCATCTCGGCCCTCGGATTTCCAACACTGCCGCCCGCTCTCGCTCCTTCCTTCCCACTCGGTCCCTGTCCCTCCGTCCGAGCGCCCGCCGCCTTAAGAAAGACCGCCTGCGCCTCGGCCCTCGTCTCGGTCACGGCCTTCACCCGGACACGCAGCTTCCCGGCGAACGCTTCTCGGAGGAAGCCCTCGTGCAGGATGGCCACTTCGTTCTTGTCGCGGCCCGACTGCCAATACCCGGAAGTACGGGGGGGATCGGTGTACGCCTCGAAGGCAAAGGGGCCCATGAGGACGGCTTTGCTGAGGGAGAAGGGTTTCCGCTGGCTGGCGGCGGCGGTCTGAGGGGGAGGGGGTGAGACTGAGGAGGGAGGTGCCCGCGCGGAAGGCGACTCCTCTTCTCGTGGCTCGCGTCGGTGAGTCGCACTGTCCGCAACCTGCCATGTATCTTGCTGTAGCCGCGGGGAATGCTCTCGGAGGAAGTTTCCATCTTTCTGGAAGGGGGGGCCAAAATCCAAGGGGCTTCGTCCCCCCGGGGACCCTACTCCTGGACGAGACGCCTCGCGAGGACCATGCGGGGCAATCGACATACAGGTCCTGCTTTTCGGGCTGATACTGGCTCCACTGTCCCAGAAAACAGGACCGAGCCGCCGTTTGTGCCAGCGCGAGTGCCACGACGACGGCCGAGATGCTAGTGATGGAGCGAAGGCCAGGCGGCCCCAGCCGACCGCACCGGAGCCTACCGCCGCTAGCAAGAGCACCCACAGTAACAAACGGGGGGAATGCATTTGCCTCGTCCTTTGCATTCTTTTCAACAAAAGTTGGGCTCTAGATTCACCTTGTGCTATTGAAGCATACTGGCAGTGAAGGCCTAGCGAGAATCCGCGCTGATTCGAAGAGGCTTGCGTGTGTGACGAGTATTCTAAAACACAAGGACAAACGTGGACAGAGCAGTTAGTGATTCCCTGTCGTCAAACATGAGCATTAAAATGTTGCAAATATTCGGCAGCGTGGGATGGGGACCCTTTGTTCTGGAAGTGTCGGTTGCAAGTAAATGAAAAAAAGGAGGAAGGAGGTAACCGTCACGTGCGTCTACTGTCACGAATCCAGAAATAATCAATGCAAGGGTCGGGTTTCACGATCGAAGCCCCATTCATGGCGACGGTCCCCACCCTGGAAAGCAGAGCCAAGCCGGCGTGGACGTGTCAATGCCTGTAGGCGACATCGCCGGCAGAGGCCCATCTGCGAGTTTTCGAGCTTTTTAATGGCCAAGTGCCTGATGGCAAGCCCGTGACTAGGCAGAGGTGACCCTGTCGCCTCCAAGGGAGCACGTGGGCTTGTGCATCACGTCCAGGGTGCCGTAGACAGCGGATTTGTGAGGATCTCATCGGGATAACGACAGAGAGAGAGCTGGGACATGACTTATGAACTGGCTTCTGGGGTTTAGGCTCGACCTCGTGACTAGTGACTGCTGACGCTGCCGCGCCGGCGTCGGAATACACATCCGGGTATCGTAGAACACCGCGAGCCTACATGGTCAGACGTTCATACCCCGGTTGAGGAGCGGCGCATATGAAGAGCATGCTTCTATGTGATTGAGTTATAATCTCAAGATATGCCTTTCGGCATTGATGACGGCGTTCAGAAAACATCTTGCTTTCACGCCACTTTTCAAGGGAAAGTACCCTTTCGTCATCTTGACAGCCTTTCCCACCTCTCGAGAGGATGCGACAAATTACACAGCAACCGCCGGTACCCTCCTTTTGCAGTTCATTATGGATATAGACTTCATCAGAGTCTTGTGGGAAGAATAAATAGTGGGGAAGACGGCTACACCACATCGACAGCAACCACTCGTAAACCTATCTCAAGTGTTTACCTGTATATCGACGCGTTCTGCAAGCTTCTGTGTTCAGTTTAAAAAAGGGGCCTTGCGATTCGAAACCTTATTTCTCTTGTGGTTTCTTTTGTCCCGGTGACTCTTTGCAAGGGTCACAATTAAAAAAAAATATTCTTCTTTGGTCATACAACCGGTCATGCCTCAGTGTATTTTGTCCTTTATACACGCGTCCCACGAGTGTCGTGCGCTCGTTGACACTCCTCATTCTTCTTTAATTGCAGGCCCTTTGCCTTCCAATCCAATCTCTGCACGTGTCCCTCTCGCTTTGCTTTTGCCCCTTCACACCTCTTCAAATTTCCTCCTCACATTTCCAAGCCAGGAATTTCCAGCTCTTCAATGCGCCAATCTTCATGACTCCCATCTGGCAAATACCGGCGGATGATGATCGGAATTTTGCGGGCACGCAACTCCATCATGGCTATCTTCAATGGATCCGTCTCGGTACCCGGCTTGACCATGATGGGAGCGTTCATACTGATCTGCAATGCCCGTGTTCCCAAGATCCGAGCACGTTCATATTTGGTCAAAAAGCGCGTGGTAATCTTGACCTTGTTCGCTTTAGTAGAATCTGCAGCGTCGTGCGGTAAGATGGCAATAGGCTCCTTCTCATCACGGTCAGGAAGCCCCTCTTGCTCCTCTTCCTCCTCCTGCGCTGCCTCCTCCTCTAATAGATCCTCCTCTTCCTCGTCCATCAAATTGTCGTAGAGTGCATCGGCCTCATTGTCACTCATGGTCTTCCTTATGCGTGAGCGGTCTTTGACCCTGCAGGTGTGTGGTGGCGTTGCGTTTTGAGAAAGATGCGTACCGCGGGTTCTCGCCGCGCCTCCCTCGACCTCTCCCACCCGCCCACATCCCTCTCCCTTCAACCTCCCCACTACGCCAGCGCACCGCCCATCCGGCAATGCATGCATAGGCCTGCATCCACATTCCCAATATGTGCACTGGAATGAGTGCATGATTATTTTTTGATGTCCATGTTTGGGCTCGTCGAACCCCGTTGGCGGTCCAATTGACAGGGGGTCGGCGCGACGCTTCGCATCCCCTTGGTGCCGCCTGCGTTTCCTTTCAATTCTCTGATGAAATTAAAATTCTACCCATTCTCCTTCATCAGAGCCCCATGGGTGATGCATCGGAGCCTTTGGTTGAAACATCCTCAATATCTCGAGCGGAAATCGGTCCACATCGACCAAGCTTTGTGTCTACTCTCCAAGTTACTCGTACCGCTCGAAATGGGCTGCTTAGCCCTAGGCAGCGAGCCCTGGAGCAAGCAAGCGAGGACACAGATCTGCTGGACATGTCATCACTATCCCTGAACACAGTCTCCCCCCTCAGGGACGTGCACTTGGATCTCCCCTTCATTCTTGCCTGCGAAAAAATCTACAAGCAGTCAGTGGCCAAGGGCTGCCCATGCAGTGTGGGGAGGGCCCTGAGCATGAAGGACAGGGACGCAAGCAACGAGCAAGACGCTAATCTCACCTACGGGGAGGTGCAATTCAGGTCCATGGCATTCATCTTAGAGCAAATCCGGCAGAAATATGGCAAGCCTGGGCGCCGTGATCGAGGAGAGGGCGGGGACAAGGAAGGCGAGGAGAGGAAGGAAAGAAAAGAAGGGGAGGAATGCGGAGGAGTGATGCAAACACCGGGAGGGGGAGTGTTTTACGACATTGGATCTGGGACAGGCAAGCCCTGCTTTGCGGCGGCTGCCCTTTTCCCTTTCAAAAAGGTTGTGGGCATCGAAGTCTTGGGGAGTCTGGTGGAGGCCGCGCAGGAGACGCGAAGGGAGTGGGAGGAGCGGGCAGTCCCTGCCTTGGCTACCGTCCGCGGACACGTCGACAACAAAGAGGGAGAGGCTGCCGTCCGCGGACACGTC